GGGGATCCACGGCTGTTCATGCTCTCCAGAGGAGGAGGTGGTTGGTGCTGTCGTCCCGGCCCACGGTCTCGCTGCTGCTGGTCAGGCGGAAATCCTCGTAGCCGTCCCCCCCGCTGATCACCAGCATCTTGGGCTTGGAGAGGGACAAGGGGGGGGCACGGGGGCGTGACAGGTCTCGCTGCTTCTCCACTTCACTCAGCTTCTCAGCCCCTGCCAAGGGCAGAGCCCCAGGGTGGTGTCAGATCACCCCTGGGGCTCTTCTGTTCCTCATCGGTATCCCACCAGCAGCATCCCAACATCGTCAGCATCCCATCAGCATCATCCCACCAGCAGCATCCCACCAGCAGCATCCCATCAGCAGCATCCCACCAGCACCATCCCACCAGCACCATCCCACCAGCAGCATCCCACCAGCACCATCCCACCAGCATCATCCCACCAGCATCATCCCAACAGGATCATCCCATCAGTGTCATCCCAACATCATCACCCTGCCAGCATCATCCCAACATCGTCATCATCCCAACAGCATCATCCCAGCAGTGTCATTTCAACATCATCATCATCCCAACAGCATCATCCCAGAATCATCCTCCTACCAACATGATCCTGGCATCCTCCCACCAGCATTATCCCAGAAGCATCCCACCAGCATCTTCCCACCAGCATCCCATCCCACCAGCAACCTCCCAGGAACATCCTACCACCATCCCACCAGCAACCTCTCACCAAAATCATCCCAGCATCATCCCAGTGTCCTCCCACCACCATCCTCCCACCACTGTCACCCCCACTTTCCCAGATGCCACATCTTGGTCCCCCAAAAACTCCTTCCATCCCCAAATAGCCCCTCCCATCCACATTAGGGCCTCCCACCCCAATTACTTCCTCCTTCCCCCCGCCCCATCGCCTCCCCCCCCCATCACAACCCAACCTGGGCTCAGATGAGACAGCATGCACCTTTCTGTTTGCTTTTCCCTATGGGAATTAGGGTCTCCCAAGGGAAATTTGGGATCACTCCAGTTCTCCCCCAAACCTGGGGGGGGGGATGTTTATACCTCATTTTTTTCCCACCCTTATTTCCCCCCCCCCCTGGATTTTAGCACGGCAAGGATGGAGTAGGGACTCTGATGACACATTCCAAGGCTATTCCTGGTTATCCACCAACGAGATAGAATCATTAAGATTGGAAGGGACCTTAAAGATCACCCAGTTCCCTGCCATGAGCAGGGAACCACTAGACCAGGCTGCACAAAACCTCATCCACCCCGGCCTTAAAAACCTCCAGGGCTGGGGCACCAACAACCTCCCTGGGCAACCCATCCCAGCTCCTCAGCACCCTGAGAGTGAAGAATTTCTTCCTCATATCTGCCCTAAACCTCCTCTCTCTCAGTTTCAAACCACCGACCCCTTGTCCTGCCACCACCTTCTCAGCTGGTGACGGCATTCCCAGCCCCAGGAGCAGGTCAGGATGGGTATTCCCATCATCATCCCACCCACCTGTCTCCCTCGGCAGTGGGAAAAGGACGTCGAAGCCGTCGGGCAGCTCGATGGCGGTGAGGAACCGGACGTGGCCAGTGTGACCCTGGGACAGTCCCACCAGGGCTGGGGCTGCCTTGGCTGACACGGCCAGGGTGAGCACCACGCCGGCGCTCGTCCCGATCCACAGCAGGTCCTTGCAGGCCAGGAGAGCCGTGATCCGCAGGCAGGCGGCCTGGCATCCGAGCCTGGGGAGCACCCCGGGTCAGCACCCCCGGGGCAGCACCCCCAGTGTCAGCACTCCCATGTCAGCATCCCTGTGTCAGCACCCCCCAGTGTCAGCACCCCCCAATGTCAGCACCCC